TTGAAGCAAGCTGTAGATTGTAATAATTAGAAGCCTTTCACGTGGTAGTGATTTGGCAAAGTGTTTGGAAAGAGGAGCACCTCTTTTCAGCGTGTTACTTATATCAAATTAATGCAATTACATATATTTACGTGAGGGATTTGTATTCCTTAATCCCGGGTTTCGGTACCATTTTAATGTTGAAATAACATTAATAGTATTTAATTGTTCTGTATTCAGTTTATGTGTATCAGGTTCACGCGATACGAATATAAGTACAAAATAGACGAGTAACAAACATAGTATATAATTCACAAATCATTTCATTAGTCCTCTTTCAGACACGTCAAGCCTTGAAAGCAATTTTTTTCGCATTCTCTTTTGTGTTTTCTATTTACCGCGAATATGTGGTAGATTTCAGACCTTGAGTGGTAGATGTGGTAGATGCTCAAAAAAGTAGCAGATCTACCACAATGTGGTAGAAGTTACTGGCTACTGGATGAGGACCCCTGGTCTAGACCAACGCGCAAAATGTTCACCGTCAAAAATCGATCAGCATTCAGTGTGCTTACAACAACACCACTGTGGCTCACATGCAGCGTTGCCAGGTTGACATTTTTAATGTCATTTGGACGTTTTTTGTATCCTGTTGACGTTTGGACGTTTTTTGTGTAAAAAATGACGTTTTTTAACTTCCCAGTAATTTTTCTCTGTTACTAAATCCTGTAAGTAGAACTGATTTCGAATTATATTCTTAATAAATCTCTCCAAGCTTTGTGTTTTGCAGCAGCTGCTTCAAATGATATTTATTCTTTGGACACAGATGACTTAAATATGATGCATACAAAGCGTACGCGCATTTTTTTTATTCTTGGACTAAGGATCTCGTGTTATAAGGCTGGTTGTGTAAACACTTGAGGTTACGAGGCTTATTGTAATGTTTGCAATTGCACATTAAAAGCAAAATCAGGAAGAGCTGATGTCTTGCAACACGCACGCTCGCAAAAGCATCAAAAAAGCTGTAGCAGCATAAAAAGTCAGAAAAAAGTAGGCGACTTTTTTAAGACTTCATTGAAAATGTAATGAACCCAAAAAGGCTGAAATATTGCTATGCTCCTTCTTCTTCTTCTTGTTTTTTGGCACTGTAACCGCCTAAGCGATTTTGGCGGAGTTCAGCAAAGCACGCAAGTCGTTTCTCTTCTGTGCCAACTGACGCCAATTGGAAACGCCAAGTAAAGCCAGGTCCTTCTCCACCTGATCTTTCCATCGCAGTGGGGGCCTCCCTCTTCCTCTGCTACCACCAGCAGGTTCCGAGTTGAATACTTTTAGAGCTGTATTTTAATTCGCTGCATTATGTCCATGTCGTTGTAAAGCTCATACAGCTCATCGTTCCATCGTCTGCGGTACTCGCCGTCGCCAACGCGTAAAGGACCGTAAATCTTCCGCAAAATCATTCTCTCGAACACTCCAAGAGCCGCCTCATCGGATGTTGTCATTGTCGATGCTTCTGCGCCATATACCAGCACGGGCATGATGAGTGACTTATAGAGCGCGGTTTTCGTACGTTGAGAGAGGACTTTACTCCTGAATTGCCTACTCAGTCCAAAGTAGCACTTGTTGGCAAGAGTGATTCTGCGTTGGATTTCAATGCTGACATTATTATCGGTGTTAATGCTGGTTCCCAAGTAAACGAAATTCTCTACTTTCTCGAAATTGTAACTGTCAACAGTGACGTGGGTGCCAAGGCGCGAATGTGCTGACTGTTTGTTTGATGACAGGAGATACTTCGTCTTGTCCTCGTTTACCACCAGACCCATTCGCTTTGCTTCCTTATCCATCTTGGAAAAGGCAGAACAGACTTCGCGGTTTTTGTAACGATGATATCGATGTCATCGGCATAAGCCAGCAATTCCACGCTCTTGTTGTATATTGTTCCTGAGCGGGTCAGTTCTGCAGCTCTTATTATCTTCTCCAACATCTTTCTGCTCCTTCTTAGCAGAACGTAATATAACATTTTCGACAACCGACCCCCTTACCAAATGTCTACAAGAAAAAAAAATTATTAAAAATCAACGCGATTATTTAGCCCCTTTAGACTTGCACACTTTGCCCTGATATCGAAATAAAATGTTGAAAATCTAGCTGAAGCTTTGCAAATTTTTTATAATTTTTGCACAAAGTTTGAAATGTGGATTTATATTTTGTTTTTATATCCGAGCGCACTTGTGCACAAGGGTATATTAGCTTTGTTCACATAACGGTTGTTTGTAACTGCCAAAACGAATCGAGACATATATAGACAAATGTACACATAAATGCTCAGAATGAATAGAGAAGTCGATTAAGCTATGTCTGTCTGTCCGTCCGTCCGTGTCACGAGCAAAAATTGAGATATCTCACCGAAATTTGGTATGTAGGTTTCCATTTATCCAAGGTAGGTTGGTATTGAAAATGGGTGAAATCGGACTGTAACCACGCCCACTTCCCATATAACGGTAATTTTCAGAAATACGAAAACTGCGATATTTTAGTAGCTACTGAAGATTTTTAACTCAAAATTGATATTTGCAATACATTTTAGACGAAAAATAAGAATATTATAAATTTTTGGAAAATGGCTGTAGCCACGCCCACTTATGGTTACATGTGTATATCTTGGTATCCGCTGCACCAGTTTCTTCTAAACTTGGCACAGTTATTGATATTGGTACAGTTTACCAAATGGCCGAAAATTTTTAAAATCGCACAATAAGCACGCCCACACCTAATACAACGGTAATTTAGAGAAATCATAAATAAAATAAAACACCTCTTTGAGGTATAATTTTCAAGTGACGAAAGCTGAACTAGAAACACAAACTTTATGTATCAATTTCGTGACGAAAATTATGCGCATTTTTTTAACTGCCTTTCAAACGTAGGGAAAATCTTTTTTATACCCGAGCGCACTTGTGCACAAGGGTATATTAATTTTGTTCACATAACGGTTGTTTGTAACAGCCAAAACGAATCGAGATAGATATAGACAAATATATACATAAATGATCAGGATGAAAAAAGAAATCGATTAAGCCATGTCTGTCTGTCCGTCCGTCTGTCCGTCTGTCCGTCTCTCCGTATACACGATAACTCGAGCAAAAATTGAGATATCTCAACGAAATTTGGTATGTAGGATTCCCTTAATCCAAGGTAGGTTGGTATTGAAAATGGGCGAAATCGGACTTTAACCACGCCCACTTCCCATATAACGGTAATTTCCAGAAATACGAAAACTGCGATATTTTAGTAACTACTGAAGATAATTCACTCAAAATTGATATTTACAATAATTTTTAGACGATAAATAAGAATATTATACATTTTTGGAAAATGGGCGTAGCCACGCCCACTTATGGTTACATATGTATATCTTGGTAACCGCTTCACGAATTTCTTCCAAACTTGGCACAGTTGTTGGCCTTCGCATAGCATACGAAATGGCCGAAAATGTTTAAAATCGCTCAATAACCACGCCTACTTCCCATATAACGGTAATTTTCAGAAATACGAAAACTGCGATATTTTAGTAACTGCTGGAGATTATACACTCAAAATTGATATTTATAATAAGTTTTAGACGAAAAATAAGAATATTATAAATTTTTGGAAAATGGGCGTAGCCACGCCCACTTATGGTTACATGTGTATATCTTGGTAACCGCTGCACCAATTTCTTCCAAACTTTAGTATTTAGTATTTAGTATTTATTTATTAAGCCAATCAGAATAGAAAATCTTACAGGCTAAGTAGAAATATGTGATAACAGTAGGCAAATTACTAGTATACATAAATGGCTCACTTATAAAGAGGGTTTATTGTATTTAAAAAGCACCCTTTTGAACAAGAAAAATCTATTTCCAAATAATTAGTAATTCTATTAAACTCAATCAAGGATCTAGTAATAGGAGCATTGAACAGACGAACGTTGAAGAACTCAGAGTTCCTAAGGGCTCTGGCAGGAATATTTATGAAAATCCTCTCCAGGAGCATGGGGCAGTCCGTAGCACC